GTGCCATGTGAAAGACGGCAGTAGAGGGCAGTCTGAAAAATGGTGTCCAATTGGAAGCACATATGAAGCAAAAGTAATTGAATTCCTCCATATAGAAAAGCATTGCACTCTTTGACATTCATTGACACTTGCTGAACATTTCTGGAGACGAGGCAGAGGATGTGAGCACAGTACGGCAGTGTGTGCTGCATTTCAGAAGAGGTGGCAGTGACATGAAAGACAGGCTGTGTTCCAGACAGCTGTGCACAGCTGTCACACCACAAAATGAAGAGCGTCTCAATCGCGTTTTCTACACAGATCAGCAGATTACAGCCAGGGAACTGAGCACAGAACTGAATATCAGCTTTGAGGCATTGGAAATGATGGTGGCAACATTGGAATATTGCTAAGTTTGTGCCAGTTGTATCCCACAAATGCTTGCCCAGGAAGAGAAGGCTCACCATCTGTAAGTTTTTCAGGACCTGTTGAACCACTGTGAGGCTGAAGGTGACAGTTTCCTGGATTGCATCATTACTGGTGATGAGATGTGGTATCACTGCTTTGAGCTGGTGTCAAAATGGCAATCGGTAGAGTTGCTGAGATGAGAATTCCCCACTGAAGGAGAGGTTCAAGACGCAGCCTTCAATGGGTAAAGTGAAGTGTGCCATCTTTTGGAGTAGGAAAGGGGTGATTCTTCTGGTTTTCCTGCAACCCCAGCAAACCATCAACGCCGATTGCCACATTTTGACCCCCAATTAAGCCTCAAACTTCCAGAGTGAGGCCAGAGAGCAAGACAGCGTTTATCTTGTAACACCGTAACGCCAAGCCCCATACCAGTTTGAAGGCTGTGGAGCACACTGTCAATTTTGGCTGGACTGTCCAACCACCCCTACCATATAGTGTGGATTTGGTACCTTCTGACTTCCATCCATTTGATCTGATGAAAGATGGTCTGTGTGGACAGCATTTTCCTAACAGCAGTGCTATCACTGCAGCTGTAAAACAGTGGATCGCCTCCACTGGTGCAGATTTTTAGGGGCACAGCATGCAGGCTCTTGCTTTTTGCTGGCAAAAATGCATAGCTAATGGTGGTGACTGTGTTGAAAAATAGTGTTTTCTAGCTGAGAATTTGCACTATCAAATAGTGTTATTGTACTCTGTGTATCTGTTACAGTTTCCATGGAAATAAATAGGAGGCATTACTTTTGGAGTGACCTATGCATTTTAAAAGTGTTTAAATACTTTTGGAGTCCTTCCTGTCTTAAAAAATATAATGAGTCTTGAAAATCCATGGGATGTGGACAAGTAAGTTGAACCTGTTGACCATCAAGCATTTTTGTGCCTAAAATTCATGTTGGCATGCTATGAAAACAGTATTTCTGTACTTTTGAATCAAATAGGTAAGAGGGTGGAAAATCCTTATGGTCACAGGTGATTGATTTGTCATCAGTGATGCTGTTCACATGGAGAAGAGCTTAGTTAGCAGTGTGGTGGAGGATTCTCAGTATTGAGGCTGCGTTAGCTGGCTTAATTTGTTCAAGATTCATAGATCCTTTTTGTAGTCTCCAGGTGGTTACGTATTGTCATCTTGATTCATTGGTAGGGTGCATAAGAACACTTTCTAAAGGTTTGTCTTACTGTTTTCAAATTGAAACACTAAAATAATAAAGACAGAAGGTTAAACAGAGGCCATGGAGAAACTGGTCTCAAAACAGATGAACCTACCTGGCATTCTCCTGCCTTCAGTATAAACCATGCACTTGACAAATGAAACAGTACCTTTAACGAGGTCTGAAGCTGTTTATGTTAAAGATCACCCTTTAGATAAGACCAGTAGAAGAATGACCAAACAAAAGACATTCTGCCCATCCAGAAACATCCGGGTGTTGTTGGGAAAGCATTTAGCAGTAGGTGGAAAATTGGACTAGATATCTTAGGGGTCTTTTCCAACCTTGTTGATTTTTTTCAGTGGTAATCTGTGCTTTGATTGTAGGCAGCAGAAAATAAGCCCCACCAGGAAGTTTAGAGCCATCCTTACAGCAAGCAAAGAAGAAATATGAAACTATTGTTGCTGCTATTGTTTCATGTAGAGAATATTAAACATTTTTTCTCATTTTAATAGCTATATATATGTATACACACAGATATGTCAGCTTGTGTATGCAAAATGTTGCAGCAAAGCAAACTACTCTGTGTGGGCCAGAATCAGTGTTTTTTGCTGTTTTCCTCCCATCCTGTATGATGACCCATGGACTTGACTTTCACTTCTTAAAAAGAAAGAATGACAGGTCAGAATGAAAAAAGTTGATTTGCAGCTGAGGGAGAGCTGCTGGACAGTGAGTTAACACAGGTTTATCAAGAGCCAGCCCAACTCTGGAGCTGCACTGAAGAGCTGTTGTAAACCCTTGGCTTGAAAGCAAGGCAAGTGGCAGGGCTGAATGCCCTGCCATATTTCTGTCTTGTGAATTTTCTGGGGTGTGTGCCTTTGTTCACGGCCAGGTTCGATCTCCTTCAAAGCGCTTCAGCAGCGGAGAGTTGCAGCTGTGCCAGCTGAAGGAGAACCAGTGTGACTTCTGCCTCTTGCTTCTGGAGTATTTCAGAGTGCCATCAGTCAGTGAGCAGACAGTAGCTCTCCTTGAGATGGAATACCAGCCAGACTCACATTTATCTCGAGTACTGGCTATGCAAGCTGGCTGACACATTAATTTAGTTTGTGCTTCTCAGTTCGTACTCTTTTCACTTATGATCAAATATTGGAAAAGGTTACAATTAATCACAGAGTGAGAATGGAAGCTGGCAAAGCTAATGATGGATTATTACATTCTGTCTGCTCTGTAGGAGAATAGCTGGGGTACTTTCATGACAGAAAACTATTATTAGTAATGAGAAATTATAAAGGAAAGCAACTTACACCCATCTCCCATTTTGCAACCTATGTTTCTTCTTTACAGTTTTTAAAAATGAAGCAATTTGCTAACACTGTTGGCTGTAGCCAGGTTTTGTGGCTATGTGGCTGCCTTTGCAGAGCTGTGAGACACCAGGAGGTTTCAGCTCTCCATGCAGCCCTGTGCTCTGGGCTCACAGCAGATGAATGTTCAATGTGTGAAGCTAATTTCCAAATTTCCACAGTGTGCCTGCCCCCAAGCTGCAAGATTGTGCAGCAGAGGAACCACAGGGAGGCCTTGCAAAAAAAACCAACATGGACTGCTGGACTGTCTGTGGTGTGTGCTTGTTCTTTGAACATGAACTAATTGCTGGTTGTTAAAAAGCAAAAGTGTTGCTGGGCTGAGACAGATGATGAAAAATGAGGGAGTATTTATGACCCAGCCACGTGCTCAAGCAGCAAAAGCTTTGGGTAAGAAATACTTCCAGGCTTCCCAGGGCAGACATCTACCTGTGGCTACCAGCAAGTGCTGCTGCTGGGCACAGAGTATTCCCTTGATTTAATGGGACACAGCATCTGGTTGCTGAAATTATAACATAAGGAAAAGAAATGGAGCTTGTGTAGCTGTGATATGCAGTCATTAAAAACTAAATTTTAAAGTAAAAATACCCATCTCACTTTATTTATAAGGTTATCTTATGCTTTTAAGTATGGTAGAATTTCATAGTCCTTTGCTCACTGCTGGTCAGCAGGATTGTCTGGGATTGCAAGTGCTGTTGTCAGTGCCTAGCAGATGCACTTGGGGCTCCCTGGTAGTTTTCAAGGTACAATACAAAATAAACCTTTCTTACTTGCCTAATTTTCAATCTAAAAGAAGAGCTACTTTCTGAGAGGGGAATAAAAAGCATATCCCACTTTTTCATTGGGAACAGGGCCTGGCCTTTGGTTGCTACTTAATCCACAGACTTAACGTTTACACGTTTGATGATTTAAATGAATAGCTCCTAGTTAGGATATGATAAAGATATATAGAACACCTTAAGCCATAAGTCAAAGGTGTTCTGTGTTTCCTTTTATTTCAGCTGGTCGGGTTTTACATGCCATAAGTGCATAACTGTTCTCCAGGGCTACTTTGCATCAGTTTACACTTTCAGCATTTCTGTTCATCAGCTTGTCTCCATACCTGCTATCTCACATACAGGGGAGAGACAACCTGCCAGAGTCCTAGGATGGAGCCAAGGATATGAGTCTGTATAACCGGAGCAACCTGTCATCTCTCCATGGTAGCCAACAGGACAAACTTAAGGACATGAGCTGGGCAAGGCTTCAAATTGTTGTAGAGGAGCTGTTGCTGTGCGTCCATGGAGGTGCCCTAAGTTCATGCACCCTCTTGCAAGGACCTGAATGGTCCCTTTGTATGTGACTGGGAAGCAGCACACTGTGGTTGCAGCAGGCAACGGAGTAGATTTGCTTTGCTAGTCTATCTGCCATATCACTGCACATGCAGGTGTCTCGGATGTAGGGTTTTTTTTCAGCATGTCACGACTGACCACACGTGAAATTTGGGCTAGTCCAGGTGTCTGTTGCACTGCAGTGATCAGTGAATTATTTCTGTGTGTGAAAAGGAGTCAAATGAAAAGGAGCCACTTTTTCCCAGCCTGATACAGATCTAACAGCCAGACTTTGCTGGTTGAGTCTAATTCAGTTTGTTAGGAACTGCAGTAAGCAGCATTAAGTGAGAGATGCCATGATTACTCCCAATAGTGTGTTTTCAGGATTGCCTCCATTCCTGCAGCAGCTGGATGGAGCTTTGTTATAACCATTCGGCATGCACCAGCAGAGCAGAGTGTGCCTTTCCTGAGTGGGGTGGTGAATAACATGAAGACTAGAATGTTACAGGGCAGGATTTCTTAAGCCTTATGAATGGCTGCAATGCTATCAGTACTGGCTCTTACACCAGCCTCCCCCCAGACCTCGCACTGAGCAGCACCTTGCCCCACACGTGTAGCAGTAACCAACCAGTCTGTGTGTTAGCAAAGCACCTACAAGCACAGGACAGACGTCTTGGTTATGCTCATTCCCACAAAAATAGCAACACCTTAGGAGATGACAGCTCTCATTTCCTCTCGTTCGGTAGGGGAGAGCGCAGGAGGAGCTGGACAGAGCGGTGCCACTTGCTGAGAGACTTGGCATGGTCAGGAATACATTGAAGGCTGTCAAGAGGAATTTAGTTAAGGGTGAGTGCTCTGGCATGGGGAGGGATGGGTGAGGGTGCCCGGCAGGCAGCCCCCCACAGCCACCAGCCTCCCTGTGTCTCTGCTCAATACAGGCGATTGCCCCATGGCCTGCAGGATATTTTCTTGAGCAACTCTATTAGGAAATCAGATTTTGCTAACAACTGCAAGAGGATAGTTGTGCTCTGTGACAGAGATTGGGTAAGTGGTGCCTGAATGAATGTTTTCTTTAAAAGGATGCATTCTGTGCTTTCGATAGAAATTTTGTTAACATTCATGTTGCACAAATGCCATTCAGCATCCTGAGGAAATGGAGAGGTCAATCATTTCTCTTGGTACCTTCCATTGCCAAAACAATTTGATAAGCCTTGGAGAGCATTTTCATTTATTCATTTCTCCAGGCTGTTTACTGCTTTTCCACATGATTAAATGCTTCATTTTTTTAATATCAGATCAATAAAGTCATGGCAGAAAGATTAAATTTTCTCTTTCTGAGGTCTGAGGATGAAGTACCTTGTGTGGCATATTCTGGGGACAAAACTAAGGCTCTTCTGAGCCGGAATCAGGAAGTGTCACTGGCTTGGCTTCCTCAAACCATGTCCTCAGATAGTCGGGGACAAGTGGCATCATTCACATGCGGCAGTGCTTCAGTGCTATGGTTTGAAAAGGAGAGAGTAGTTGAAGTGATCATTGGTTTGACAAAGCTTAGTGAATGGAGGTTGGCTTGGGAACACAGTCCTGGCAGCTGCAGCCTGACCTGCAGCCTCCTATTCACAAACGCAGTTTGAGGTAGGTGCAAATCCATGGAAGATTCTTCTCCACAGTGTAAATGTGTGGTGTTCTAAGAATATGACCATGCCTTCAATTGCATGAAGTGCTGCATTTAAAAACAAACAAACAAAAAAACTGACTGGGTGGCTGGGCCCAGAGAAGGTGGTGAATGGAGTGAAATCCAGCTGGTGACCAGACACTAATGGTGTTCACCAGGGGTTGGTATTGTGGCTGGACCTGTTTAATGTCTTTATTGATGATTTTGATGAGAGAATTGAGTAAGTTTGCAGATGACTCCAAGCTGGGGTGAAGTACTGATCTTCCTGAGTGTAGGAAGGTCTTACAGAGAGACTTCGGCAGGTTGGATCAGGGGGCTGAGGCCAGCAGGATGAAGTTCAGCAAGACCAAGTGTCGGGTCCTGCACTTTGGTCGCAACAACCCCATGCAGTGCTACAAGCTTGGGACAGAGTGGCTGGAAAGTTGCATGGACTTGGGGGTGCTGGTCAGTGCTTGGCTGAGAATGAGCCACCAATGTGCCCAAGTGGCCACGATGGCCAGCAGGAGAAGGGAGGTGATTGTCCTCCTGTAGTCAGCTCTGGTGTGGCTGCATCTGGAGTGCTGTTCAGTTTTGGACCTCTCACTACAAGAACGACATAGAGGCACTGGAACGTGTCAAGGGAAGGGCAAAGAAGCTGGTGTATGAAACACAAATCTTATGAGGAGTGGCTGAGGGAACTGGAATTGTCTAATCTAGAGAAAAGAAGGCTCAGAGGAGACCTTACTGCTCTCTACGACTGCCTGAAAGGAGGCTGTAGTGAGATGGAGATTGGCCTCTTCTCTCAAATAAATAGCAATAGGACTAGAGGGAGTGCCCTCAAGTTGCACCAGGGGAGGTTCCAGTTGGATATTAGGAAGAGTTTCTTCTCCAAAAGAGTGATGAGGCATTGGAACAGGCTCCTCTCCTGATGATGGAGTCACTGTCCCTGAATGTGTTTAAGGGAAGGATAGATGTAGTACTTAGTGACATGGTTTAATGGGCAGTATTAGTGGTAGGTGTATGGTTGGACTAGATAATCTTTAAGGTCTTTTCCAACTTTAATGATCCTATTATTATTCTTAGAGAAAAATCAGAGGAAATGAAGTTTGCTTGGTATTGCTGTGTGTATTAATTCCAGTTGTTCAGAGGGAACATGGTAAGGAGAGGTCAGCTTTGCTTTGCAGTGAAACAGGGACCCTGCTGGCTAATGAAGCAAAGAGACAGCACACAGCATTTATTATTGATGCTATTAAGAGCCAGACAGGGCTGTGCTCCTTTTGATGGTGCCAAGTAGCTTTTTGAAGAGGTGGTGAAGAGCCTGCGGTGCCCAGAGCCCTCTTGCCCCACTCCAGTGGTGTGAGAGATGCTGTCAGCTGGGTTTCCAGGCCACCTGTCATGGGCACAGCCCCATGGGAGATGCTCTCCAGCCACAGAGATACACAGCATTTGTGCTTTTGCCTGCATGGCTGAGTCTGTCTCTTGTTGTACGAGGTGCTGGTATCCCTGTCTCTGTGCTAGAGCTTCACGGTCGATTTAAGCTGATGTAAGCATGAGCTGCAGTCAAAAGGGAGAGCTTCTATTGCTGCCCCTATGTGAACGGTGGCCTTAGCATCAGATTTGAGAGTTAAATGTTCTACTGAGAAAGTAAAGGTGTCACTGAACCAAATTTCACATTTACATTCATCTGCATTAGTATTTTAAAATCGGAGGAGAACAATATAACAGAACACAGCTCGACAGCCTGGAGAAGAGGAGGCTGAGGGGAGGCCTCATGGCAGCTGCAGCTCCTCACAGAGTTCAGGGAGCAGTGGTGAGCTCTGCTCTCTGCTGTTCTGAGGGGACGGCATGGAGCTGTGTCAGGGGAGGGGCAGGTGGTGGTTAGGGACAGGGTCTGCCCCAGAGAGCAGTGGGCACAGCACAGGCTGCCCAGGGCAAGCATGGAGTTGCTGGAGCTCAGGAAGCAGGGCTTTCAGGCATTGTGTTTGGATCTTGGGTGGTGCTGTGTGGAGCCAGGAGTTGGAGTCAGCGATCCCTCTGGGTCCCTTCCAACTTGGCATACTCTATGATCCTAATAATGTCTTGTTGAATTATTATTGTTTTTAAGTACCACTGCTAGCTGATGCGCTTTTACCTACTGGCGTTTGGGGCTCTGGATGGTTCCATGCAACCTGTAGTTGCATTAGGGTGTAAGTTGGTGTGGAAACTGTGCAAGTATGGCACTGATTAGATGAAGAAGCAAATTTGTAGTTTAAAATGCAACTCCAGTAGGCCTTATAGATTCAGATCCCAGAGGGTGAATGAAATCAATCCAGTGCCATTGATCTGATGCCAGCTGTGATTAGTGGAGCCCCATGGATGAATGGTGAATACAACCTACTGCCTGAACTGCTGGCTGCTTCTGTTTTAGACTTGAAAGTGAGTAACAGAGTTCAAGTACTAAGACTTTGGGGTAGTCTAGAAACATTTCTGCAAGTGCCACAAGGTACTATCAGTAAGAAAAATAAAAGGGTCATAATGTTGGAAGTGGAAAAAGGTCCTGGTAGCAAAGTGATGATTATAACAAGTTTCAGGAGAAAAAGGTGAGGAAAATAATTCAGGTTAGCAGACATGGAGAGACTGTCAAACAGGGCAAATTTGAAGGGAGTTCAGGGAAGGGAAGTGAAGTCAGAGAAGATGAGACCTGCAAAAAAAAAAAAAAAAAAGAAAAGCCAACAGGAGCATGTCTGCCCCATCTAAAGAAAACACACACAAGGGAGGCACTGTTGCTTGCAAACGTACGGGGGGAGGTATAAAGCAGCCAGCAATCAATTTCCTAATAACGGGCTTGATCTTTTAATGAACTAGTAAGATGGAATGAGAGTAGAACAAAAACCTGATTTATCATCCCATCTCTTTTGCAGTAGCAGCAGTGCAACTGTATTTTCTTCCCTTAGCTTGTCTCAGCAGCTTCACCTGAGTCATAAAGGTGGAGCAGTGTCTTCACAGCTGAATCTCTTGTGTGATATGAGAGGTTTTAAGAGGTTTTTGTTTTTTGTTTTTTTTTTTAAAGACCTGCTGGCCTCTTTGCATGGCTGCTGTTTAAGGCAAATACTTCTGTTTCTGCTGCTTTAGGACCTAGCAAGCCCCACTTGAAATGGCCACAAGATCAAGGTGAAGAGCTATCTTGAAGCAAGCAGAGGGGTTTCTGAGAACAGGGCTATATTTCATTGAAAAGCAACAGGACCTTTCTTTGTTTCCCTGGGGCCAGGGATTTCTCCTGCTTCCTTAGGCATCAGTTTTCTCAAATCCTTTGTAAAAGTAACTTCTGAACTTGCCTAATCACTGGATTCTGCTCTGATTTAAGGTGGGACCCAGAAACCCAAGGATTAATCCAAGTGGTCAACATGTTAGCCGTTTCCTGTGCTGACACAGTGAGCAAATACAGTGAGCTGTAATTAATCCCACCTGAGGGTGCTGGTCCCAAGCCAACAAGCTGCACCCACCCAAGCAAAAACCCAGATAGTTTGGAGATGCAGTGTTGCCTTTCACAGGACCTTGTTGCCATCAGAATGACAACTGGTGCTAAGTGAATGCAATGATTATGGCACCTGATGGTATTGTTAAGCAGGACCCTTTACAAATGCAGATGAAGGCACTTAGACCAGATTAGTATTAGATCTGTACACACCATCTAAAATGGCAGTGTGGGAATAAAATCTGCTTTCACTGCTGCTGGGTGCAATCCAGCTGTGAACGTACAAGGGCCAGGCTCTCAGCTGGGTTGAGTTGTCTTTTCTGTGAGATGTAGCATATAGATTTAAGATGTAAAGCTGCGTATTTGTTCTTGGGGTGTGTCAGGGTGCTGCTGTTTGAGCAAAGCAGTATAGGGCTGCAACTGTAAAGCTCGGGGCTGTGAGCTTTTGTGGGATGCACCTTGCAGCACAAGCAGGCCAGCAGAGGAAGGAGTAGGAAGTAAGACCTGGGGCTTTCTCTTCTGGGTATGGGGGCAGTTCCTTTTTTCAGAAGGTATCATTAACATGTGTAGATCAGAGACTTAGTTAAGTTTGTGAAATCTCAAACAGAGATTTCCTTGTAGAATGTCCTCTGAGAAGGGGGATAGACCTCAAAGGTGGTACGCTTGGAGGAAAATCTATGTAGGTATTTGGCTAACAACATCCAGCAGAATTGTGCATATGGCAGAGAGAACAGCTAATGGCTGCAGCAAAGCATTAAGATGTTTTTTTCCCTGTTACTTCTCCAGGTTTTTCCACCATGTTCGGAAAGAAAAAGAAAAGGCTTGAAATTTCTGGGCCCTCTAACTTTGAACATCGTGTCCATACTGGCTTTGACCACCGGGAGCAGAAGTTCACAGGACTACCTCAGCAATGGCACAGCTTGTTGGCAGACACGGCCAACAGGCCGAAGCCTATGGTGGACCCATCGTGCATCACACCCATTCAGCTCGCACCTATGAAGGTATTGTGTAAAGTCTTTCTTTCTTGTTGCCTTTGAATTTCCTGACCTATCTTTAATTGCATAGTTGAAGCTGTGCATGAGCTTATCCCTGAAATGCCTCCGTTTGCACTGAGAAGGTACCTGCTGCATGAGGTGTCATTGGGCACCTCTTTTTCTAATTTCTGTACGGAACTACGTCTCAGTGAAAGGTTATCTGACAGCTGTGATGTAATCACTTCTGTGCCCTTACTCTGCCCACGTTGCTAGAAATATAAAGGAGATCAGAAGGAGGACGTGTCAGGCTTAGCCACCAAGCACCACAAGACATTTGTTTGTATCACCAAGAGCATCTGGGAAGCAGGCATGGCTGGGGCAGAGGGGCAGAGCTGCAAGCACAGAGAATTGGAAATCCAAATGTTTAATACTAGGGCTATGAGGTAAAACTGTATTTATAAAACGTCTCCTAGAAGAGCATGTGTCACAGGTCTTGCTTGGGCCATGTGCTCGCATTCCTGGGGTGCGGAAGAAAAAGCCACAAGTTCCAGTGGAGGCTCCAAATGTTGCTCCTCAGCAGCATAAAATTCCTTGATAATTAATTTAAGAAAGGTGCTTTAGGCAAAGGCAGCAGGGAGGGATAAGTACATGGAGGGAAAAAAATTATATTGCTTGTTAAGCCCAGAAAAGAGCTCAGGGAGGGATCTTGTTGCCACCTGCAAGCACCTGCAGGTTAATGCAGATGGTGGAGCAGAGCCCTTCTGTGGGTGACAAAATGGAGGGAGCAGACCCAGGCTGTGGCTGGGGAAATTCAGACCAGACAGGTGGTGAAAAAACATTGCTCAAAGGATAGAGCAGCACTATATGGGTGCCGTTTTGGCTCTGAGCTACCTGTCCTTAGAAGTGCAAGATACAGTCAGACAAACAGCCTCATTTAGTGATGGTTCTGAAATTGCACATCCTGATGTCCCAGTAAATGCCACCTGCGTGCTGGCAGTACCATACACCCCTTGCTGTCATGTGGCTGAAAGATAAATTTAGGATTTCATCCTCACGGATTTTTCTGAAGCAAGGGAAAATCAGATAATCGTGAGAGCGCAGACCCTGTATTTACATTTGATAAGTGCTCTTTGCTAAATTTGCATTTACTGCCTGCACCTGAAGGACACTCAGCACTTGCTGATCAGGATTGCTGGGCATTGCTGCAGGATAAAGGGTATAAAAGCAAAGTCTTGGATTTTTTGCAGTGATAAAACACTGCATTGTATAAATGAGGCCCAGAATAATTTGGAAAAAAGTAGGCAAACCTTTGCCAGCTGGAGTAGAAGAGTAAATGTGTTTCACAGCCCTTTTAAACACCAAAATATCCTTGGGACATGAATGCATAAAGATGTCTTAAATCAGTTTCTTATCTTGCAGCAATACCATCTATTTTCTGTAATTCTGGAGCCATAAATCCTAAGTTTAAAATGCTTTAAAATGTATTAGATTTCAAAACACCTTAAAAGAAGTGTGAGTCTAGGACTAGTGCTGCAAATGGACACATACATACATAGCTTTATTTGTGAGTAGAGCTCTGATGAAGCAGTATACACTGTGGTGTGTGAAGGATCGAGCCCTGAATGAATAACTGCAGCACTTAAAAGTGGAGAAAACCATGGACAGCTTTCCAGGAAATGGTCTCTTTTTATTTTTCTGTTTATCAAACGTCTGTCTATATATGGAGGAGGTCTATGTATCCAGCATTCTGTATCTGTTCATGTAATGGGAATGCAGTTCTGAACTAAATCTTACCTTGCCAGAAAAGGCTCCTTTGGGAGTAGGATGGGACCAGGAGCCAAAATACAGCTCCTGAGCTGAGCTTGTTCTCCCAGTATAGTCTTGGGCCACAGTGGTTTATAATGCATCCATACATCCAGCAGCATCTTGCCATGGTGCATCTCCTGGTGATGGTTTCTCTGTAACACTGCCCCCATCCCAACAGTGGCAGTGGGGCAGAGCGACCCATAGGAAGGTTTGTCTGCATAGATGGAAGATGGAATTTGGAAGTAGATTCCCCAAACTGCAGTTATTTGCATGCCATCATTCCAAAGGCAGAGTTGAAAAAGTAATTGGGATTAAAACTGAAGGGCTCAAGAGACTGTGCTTTCACTGTCCAGTTACTTTCCCTAAGACTTCTGCAGCCTATTGAAGTAGGCCTCCTCCATAATGCCAGCAAAAGAGCTGGTCTTATTGCCGACTAAGAACAGTGACTACTGCCTGAGAACTTGCTTTTAATTTTTTTGCAAGAAATAATTTCATTCCATGGTAAGAATTAGCGTGTTTAAGTTGACTTAACTTATAAAGTGAGTTGTGGCCACTCCAAAACTGAAAGTATTAAGCATTACTGAAGTAAACATAATTCAGAACAATTTTGTCTATGTGTACATTCCCAAACACCTTTAGTTCTGTTAAAAAGGGATGTACACACTGAGGACTTTATGATTTAAGTGAGAACTGGTGATTTTAAATGCATTTGCATTTAAAAGATGGAAGCCATAGTCTGCAAGACCATAACACTGCTTACAGTTTTCCTCTTTTCCACTCAGCATTTGATGTGGTTTAATTAACACATTTGTAAATGCACTGAGCTGTAACAGAAGATTGATAATGAAGTGTGTCCTAAGTCACGTTATTAAGTCAGGCTGAGGCATTCAACCAGTGTTGGTCCATACAGAGGTTTCAGGTCATGCAGCAGTTCTGTAACTTGTCTATTCTGCATTTATTATTTTTATTGTATTTTTAATTAGTTCTGCATTGGTTACAAGTGCAGTGCAAGGCAGAGGTGTTCTGCTTAGAGGGACTCCTCTGTGACTGAATGGTAGCACAGGTTATAGAGTTCAAGAGAGTGATTGCTGGCTTCTGAGACAGAACTGATTTTTGTTTGCTTTGTGTTTCACCCGAAGCTTCATCCTAATCCAAAGCCAAAGCAGAGGAAGGGAAGGGCTTTTGTTGACTTCTGTGGGTTTTGCTGTCTTCCCCATTAGGGTTGTTTGCTTCTTTCTCAGTCTGCAAAACAGAACCTGATGGTTCATATACTGTATGACTTATTGTTTTACCCAGAGGGATACATTTTCTAACTGTTCCATCTATATTAAAAGGCAGCAGAGGTGATGAAGAGGCAACACTGTGGTCTCTCAAGTATCCTGGGAATGACCCCTTCCACCAGGAGACTCACTGCTGTGCCTCTGCACTGGCTGGATTAAAGGCATTTAGTCCTTTTGCATGTGGCTGGCAGTGGCTCATCATGGTAATATCTGAGCTTGAATACTAACTTGAGCTGGTTGTACAAATTCATTCATTTCCACTACAAGGAGTAATGATAATAGGATTCCCCTTCTCAGTGTGGATGACCCAGATACAAGCAAAGTGCTGTGTGCTTCAGACACCAGCAGGAGTGAGTAAAAGTGACGCAGAAGGTTTCATGGGAAATAGAAAGTGACAATGGTGATGGTAGATTCTGGGTGTGTAGAGAGAGGTTTTTCATAAAAGGCTGATTTTTCACTGAAAGCATCTTCATGTGATCTATGTCTTACTGTACTTAAAATGGATTTCATGAAGCCTGAGGTCTGATATTAGGCCTTTAAGTTCTCTTGCTTCAGTATTTTGCGTTTGCCCTACGTGTACTTGCAGTTCAGGGTTTGATTGTTTATCCTCAGCATGCAACATACTTGGCCTGACACTGCTTTCACACTGCACTCGAGTTCCAGCCCCTTAACTTTGGAAAGCTTCAGCATCAATAGCTAGGCAAACACACTGCACTTGGGCAGCAAAACTCGATGAATTCTTCATGCTTTCTACACTCTGCTAAAAGTATTTGGAAAACAAGTATGAGAAGCCTTATTTGGGGGATTTTTGACAGGAGCCTAGCGTTGGCTTTGTAAAGATGCTTCATTAAGATGCTTGAATGTCCGTGGCTGTCAGCAGGAACAGGGTGGCACGGAGGACTTGTTAAAATCCCTTCTTGTGTTCCCCAATCTAGCTAACAGCGGAGCTTCTTTGCTTTTCTGTCAGTTACTGCAGGAAAAAAATCCCATTTGTTTCTGAGATGCACAGTAGTTGTGCCATTAGTCTGCTGCAGTTCATTTACCTGGTGTTGTGCAATGCATGGGCTTTGCAGGGCAGAGAATTTCTGATGTGGCAGACTGGGGAGTCACTGACTGTCCTCCCATTCATCCTGTTTCAGTGTTGCAACCTGTATGTTTTGTCCTATCTGTAATTTTAGTTTCCATCACTATTGCATCCCAAACATCAACCTGGATAGCAGCAAGTTAAATGTAATCCTTTAAACCTTATTAAGCTTCTACTACTGTATTTCAGCCTGTGTATAACATGGGGAAAAATAATCTGAAAATGAGTGACTGGTATGGCTCTTTTAATAGTTCTGACCAGAAAATCGAAGCTTCTGTTTACTGTGTGTGCTGACAGAACAAATAGCAGACATGCCCCTTCTCTTCCCTGTCCTACTTGGACAAAGCGGTGGTTGTCCTGCCCTTCTTCCTTGTCTTTCCACGTTTTTCTATCTCCTTGACAGCTCCTTGATTTTACTTATTCCTCCATGATACCTCTCTGGATGGCACAATTTGAGGTTCTTGCTTTAAGAAGGCTGTCTCCCATCACCAGGAAGCTGCAAGTCTATGGCACTGCTTTTGCCAGGACAAGACACAAAAGGCTGCTGACACCTTGCGGGCCTTCCTTGTAGCTGCACTGTGATCATTCATGCTTACGAACTCAGGTTTCCTAATTGCTTGTTTTGAGATTGCACATGGGGCCTGGCATGTGCTGGTCTAAGAGGAGCTAAGGTGAAAGGGGTAGTTCTAAAAAAGGGCAAGAGCCAACACCTTGCAGCATTGAAAAAATGTTGTGTGGAAATAAAAGGTTTTGCCAGTGAGCGTGACTTAACAGTGGGACGGTGACCCGGAGAGGCTGAACTCTCACAGGGGGCAGTTTGCAATGAACACTACCCTGAGCCACCTCACAGGTCATCG